GTTAATATTAACATATTCTCTTTGTCAAGGATTTACCCCCCGTTCAGATTTACCCCGAGTGACCCTAATTAAAAATTCAAACAAATGAAAATTTGTTGAATTTGAATTAGTCATTTAAAACTGATTTTTATTAGAAATTCAGGCGCCCATAACTTAATTAAAATTTTAAAAATTTACATCTTAGTTCGATTCTGATATATTTGAAATAAATTTTCTTGATAATATTTCTAAAGAATTATTTTTACTAAGGAATTAATTAATTAAATTAATTAATTTTACTGTTATTATTGATAAATGACTATTTGTTTCTTAGTAATCAAATTGTAAAAAGTTGTTTCATATGTGGATGAATTGAACTGAGGTCATTAGTACACTGAAAAAAGTATATATTTAGAGGAAATTGGCATTTGAATTCCTTATAACATTTTTTTTTCTAGAATAGAAATATTTAGCTTACCTTAAAGTTTGATGACAAATTCCTTTAAAAAATTTTTTAAAATTGCAACAAAATTTTTGTTTTTTAACTTGTACTTTTTATTTCCAATGAATAGCTGCAAAATTTTTAGTGCACAATTCAGTTTAAAAACGGAAACGTCGAATTGAAATGACCTTCAAAAAATTCTTCTATGACAATCAAAGATATGTTTAAGCCAACAGTTTAGTTTGCCAATATCATACCCTTTTTTAAATGTAAATATAATACCCTACGAAGGTAATAGTAGTAAACTTCCTTTTTTCCTTACTTATATAATTCAAAAACATTTCTTTGTCTCTATTTTCTAAAAAATAGGTTCGATTATTCCTAAGATTTGCTCACAAAATTAGTATGTTGCAATTTTAAATTAAAATGAAGATTTTATAGACCAAATTCCTTCATCACGAAATTGTTTATTGAATGAAACGACATGTTAGTAATTTTAACTAAATATTTCGTATAAAATTAATTCATCAAAATTTATTTATCTACCTTTATATTTTAGTTTAATATTTAATTCAATAGTGTAACATTTAATTTGTAGACACCAAGGATTCGCTACTCAAGGGGGAGAAGTGGAGGATTGAAAAAGAAGGAAAGGTATGACGCATTTAAGGTAAGATTATTATAAATAAAATAGATTTTATAAAAATACAAATCATGTTTAATTTAAGAATTATATTCAATTTTTGTTTCAGGCTATTGCTAAGGGAAAACAGGAGAAAAAAACAAAAGGAAGAACAGAGCAGAAACAAAAAAACGGAAAAAAACCAGAAGATAAAAAAGAAAATGAAAATAAAGTAAAAGAAAATAAATTTATAGTTATCGCGAAGGGGGGGGGTGTAATTAATATTCATAATTAATTTATTAAAATTTGTGAATTTTTATTTTTAATAAATTTATAATTAATTCTATCCATTTATAATTAATCTACTTTACAAGTAGTTTTTTAAAATAACCTTTTCACTTTCAAAATACATAAATGTGTAGGTAGCATAAAAAAACCGGAAATATTTTTTAAATTCTGAAAAAACTGTTTGCCAACGACCGGACTATTATTTAGTTGACCAATGACTGTTATTTGATTTGTTAAATTTGAGACATTTTTTTACAAAATTTTTTTTTTAAATCGATCAGTAAGTCAATTGAGAAAAATGGATTTTTACCTTTAGAACTAAATAATTTAATAGAAATATCGTATGGAAAAATGTCGACTTTTTTTGGAAAAGTACATTTAAAAACACACATTGAAATAATTGTAAATTGATTCATTTTTAAGAAAGTTATATGCATTAAAAAAATTTTTAAGTCTCAATTAGTATTGTACAATGGGATAAACTCGGCGTTAGGGGTAAAATCGGTGATTCCCTATTGTAAATTCCTGTATGAGATCCCGTACATAAAATCGAGTATCTGCAAGACAGGCGAGTATATTATTTCGCCAGTCAGGTATAAACAACTATTGGATATTTGTTATTAAAAATTAATTTGAAGTTTTGAGAAATAATTATTATATTGAATAATGACTTTTTTTAACCCTAGAAGGAATAACTGGGGTATCTAGACAACCAAAGCAACATTGAAAGTATGTTCCTGACTTAACCAATCATATTTTCACGACGGGACCATAACGATAATTCAATTTGTACATCTGACAGTTTTGATCTACGGTATTGCGCGCGAAATTTTTGCTCCAGGAGAAGCTCTGTATCGAATTGAAATACGTGTGGGGTATATTTACACCCCGGTTACCCCCCAATGTTACAAAATTAAAAAAATAAGTAAATTTAAATTTTATGTAAAATCTTTTTTAATCAGTTTAAATCATCTAGTAGACTAATAAATATTAATTGATAAAATCTATTTTATAATCAATTTTTGTGATATTTTTAATTAGGGTCAGTCGGGGTAAATCCGAACGGGGGGTAAATCCGAACGCTAATTATTTCAGCTTAATTAAAATTTTTAAAAATAAGTTCGATATGAGAATTTTTACCTCAGATTCTCTTCAAGAGATTCTAAGTATTATCCCATTTTTCGTTTGTTAATTAGCAACAGCATAAACAAAGATAACAAGTATTGCAAAAAAGATTGAAAATCAAAGATGACACTCTTTCAGTATTTTGTCTCGTATTTCAAGAAAAAGAAGCTAAAAATTCATTTTATTATTTATAATTGTTTGTTATGAATACTAGAACAGAAACTATATTTGATGTTTGCCTTCTGTAAAATTTTATTAATAATATCAGACCGTTCGTATTTACCCAAGAAAATTGGAAAACTGGGGTAAATCCGAACGGTATTTTTAATAATTTTTTTTTACATCAAAGCCACACAAAATTGTTTTTATTTGATTACACTATTATTTTAACATTATAAAAGTACATAGAAAAAAGTTTTTCTTTCTATACGTATCCTCGTTAGTAATTAATAAGCAGAAACTTAATCTCTGTTCTCTCGAAGGAGTGTTTCAATTTTTTTGCCAAATAGTTTGTTGAAAAAAGTTTTTCAGGATCTTAATAAAATTTGGTATTCTACGGTTTTTGGGGTCGCTAATTACCAATTTGAAGTCAGTTTTTCAAAATTCAAAATGGCGGACGAGAATTAAAAAATTCATTCGATTCGCTCGAAAATTGTTACTCGGGGGGTTTCAGGGTTAGCAAATTTGATCATTTTTAAAAATAAGTTTTAGGAAAGTACGCCATTTTGAATTTAAAAAATTTGACTTTTATTTTTGTATTTACATTCAATCACTCCAAAATACTTTCTGTACCAAGTTTTGCAAAAATCCGTTATGATTTGATAAAGTTATTGAAGGTTTTAATTGTGTAATGCATTTTAATTTTTAACCTGTTTGATTTTTGTATTTATATATGATGCATTATTACATAATAGGTTTATTATCGTATTTTTTTTGAGTTTTTATATAAGTTTAACAATTGCAATACTTTAAATTTATTTTCCCTAAGATTTTTCTGAAATACAGTGGCGTTCGTATTTACCCCCATATTTTAGGAAAGTTGCAAAGTATCGAGGTAAATACGAACGCTAAGTTTCCTGCGATTGTAATTTATCAAAAATTTTTTCTACCCCATAAAATTGTTCTATGGAAGTAAAGTAACAACTTCATGCACCAGAATACCGGAAGTATTTTTTTTTTAAAGAAAAAACTTATGTTATTGTTGAAACTTACTAAAAGCGTTCGGATTTACCCCGGTTGACCCTAATAGAATTTTTAAGGCAACGAATTTTCACTTGTGAATTCGGTTAGATTAAAATTTTGTGAATTGAAATTTCTGTCATTTAAAAATTTGATTCAGACAAAATTCGATTTAATTAAAAGTTCTGTTAAATTAAAAATCTTTTTAATAAAAAGTCATGTAAATTAAATGACTATCTACACTACGAAAACGGCTGTCTTATTTTAAGACATAAGACACTTAGGAAACGTCTTAAGACACTATAAAATGTCTTAAAAATCGGGACGAAAGTGTCTTAATATAAGACATTTGTTTTTGCAGTATAAAATAAAAATTCTGCCTAACAAAAATTAGGTAATTAAAATTTTTGTTTTGCAAACTTTTGTATAAAAATATTTTTGGATTTTAATTCGTAAACTGATAAGTCGTCTAAAAAATAATTATCTCTAATTTTCTATTTCTAATAATTGAATTTTTAAAGATTTACAATTTAGATTTTTGAAATTAATTGAATTTAAAATGACTTTTAATTAAATATTTTGTGATTTCTGTTGATGAAGAATTTATTAGAAATTACAAACAAAAATTGAATTTCTAAAGTTTTTAATTGGATAATGCTTTTCAATAATTGAATATTTTACGTATATTATAAAAATCCTTTTAAAATTATTAAAAAAAAATTTTGTTGAAAAATCTGGCCTAATCACTCTAATTTAATATAATTATTACCAGATAAATAAAATCTTAAATAAAATTATTAATTTTTGGAAGAGTTACAGTTGGTATTTTCAGAAATAATTAAAATTGAAAATGTGTAATTTTGAATTTTTTTTTTAATTTTTCAAAATAATTGAATTTAACTGATTTTGAAATAAAATTTTTTCATGATTTTTGTTGCTGAATAATTTATTAAAAATTAAAGACAAAAAATGAATTTTCAAATTGTTTAATATTAAAAAATGCCTACAATTGAATTTTTGAAAAATAAAATAATCATTAAAAATAATTGAATTTTGAAAGAATTATAACTGAAATTATTAAATTTAGATAAAAAATTTTTAAAATAATAAAATTTTAAAAGGTTTTAAGTAAATTGAAATTTTTTGTAATTTTATTTGATTTGTTTTTAAATTGTAAAGAACTGTTGGATTTCGTACAATTTTTAATTAAACATGAATTTAAGATAATGGAATTTGATAAGAATTTTATTAAAATTATTAAAAGTAATTAATTTAGAGAAAGTTTTTCGTTAAAAATTTGTCAAATAATTGAAATAAAGAAGATGTTTGTGATGAAATGTTTTAAAAATGAAAAAAAAGTAATACTTACTATCGGCATTAATTCCTTTTCCACAGAATTATGACTATCTGCACCATTTCTTCTTTCACGATCTAATCGCTGTGAGTTCTGAAAATTGATGAAGCAAAAACATCAATAATAATAACAATGAAAGCAATAATTTGATAAGAATTTCATTAAAATTATTAAAAGTAATTAATTTAGAGAAAATTTTTGGTTAAAAATTTGTTAAATAATTGCAATAAAGATGATCTGTATTGTATACTAAAAGGACGTTTTGTGTTTAAAAATTGTATAAAAACGATATTCGGATGGAATGTTACCTCCCTGAAGTACGCAACGTTTATCTTAAACGAAAATTTTTTTTTTAATAATTACATAAAAGTCCTTAAAATAGGTACAAACTAATGAAAAATAACAAAAATAGAGTTTAGAAAAAAAAATTACACAAATTACACCCCAAACACCCCCATACAATTGAAAAATCGAAAAAAATAGAAAATATTCTATTATTTCAAATCTAAATGCGGGACCAAAGATTTTAATGTTCTATTCGCATCTTTATATGTCCCTTAAAATGTAAAAAAATTGAAGGCGAATTTGATGATCCGCAACCCCGATTTTTTACCCCAAAAATTTGAAAAAATTCACAAAAATCAAAAAAAATTCATTATTTTGAATCTAAATGCGGGATCCAAGATTTTATTGTTCTTTTCGCATCTTTATATGTCCCTTAGAATGTAAAAAAATTGTGAGCTAATTTCATGGTCCGCAACCCCGATTTTTTCACCCCTAAAGTTTGAAAAAATTTTAAAAAATCGAAAAAAATTCATCATTTCAAATCTAAAGGCGGGACCAAAAATTTTATTGATGTTTTTGCATCTTTATATGTCCTTTGGAATGTAAAAAAATTATGAGCAAATTCTATGATCCGCAACCTGGATATTTTGACCCCTAAATTTCGAAAAAATCGAAAATAATCCATCATTTCGAATGTAAATGCAGGACCAAAGATTATATTGTTCTTTTCGCATCTTTATATGTCCCTTAGAATGTAAAAAAATTGTGAGCTAATTTCATGATCCGCAACCCCAATTTTTTTATGTCCCTCAGAATGTACAAAAATTTGGGTCAATTTTTGTGTCCCGCAACATTGGTTTTTTCACCAGCAAAAGCTGGAACAAAAGTTTCATTGTGTTAATTGTAGCCACGTGGAAATAAAACGTTAGAAAATTTGGGACGCAGAATATGTTCTACAAATCATTACTTAGAATTTTCATTTTATGGAATTTCATTTGTCATAATTACATTTGAGCCGAATTTTTATTTGTTCGAAATAGTATTTTGCAGAATTTTCATCACATCTATTTTTTATATTGCAGTATTTTTGGATAACCTAAAATTCACTTCACAGAATTTTTATTTACACGAATTTTCATTTAACATAATATGCATTTTAAAGAATTTTTATTGGATAGAATTTCATTGCGTAGAATTTTCTTTCAGATGACTTTTTATTTGTTCGAATTATTATTTGATATAGTTTCCGTATAACCGATTTTTCATACTACATACAGAATTTTTACTAAACCGAAAAATTATTTAACAAAATTTCTATTTCTACAATTTTTAATTGTTCGAAATTACCAAATGGCCGAAAAAGCATGAAATTCTAACCAATAAAAATTCTTTAAAATGCTTATTATGTTAAATGAAAATTCGAGCTAATAAAAATACAGACAAATAAAAATTCAAACAAATAAAATTTCTGTGAAGTGTTTTTCGTTTATATAAAAATTCTGTGATATGGAAAGTCGGTTTGATAAAAATACTGCAAAATACTAAGGGTGTACTTCCGAAGTAGGGGTACCTCCGATCTTAATGAAACTTGGTATACTAACGTATTTTGGTGCGCTGATTACGAAAATGATAGTGAAAATTGGCGCAAATTTGATTATCATGGTAAAAACCATAAAAAACACCATAAAATAATGGTTTTTTACGATTATCTCGTAAAAAACAAAAAATTTCGAAAAAAGTTTTAAACAAAAGTTGTAGATCTCAAAAAAACACACATTTGATGTTTTATGCATTTTTTACCAAAAGTCATTATTTTTTGAGAAAAATCCAAAAAATGAAAAACACCATGATAATGAAAACATATACAGCAGTCATGGTTAGACATATTATTTGACTCGTATATAGTATCATATTCACCATTAGTCAGGATCTAACGAATTCCGCAAAATACTTTCGGCCATATCCACCTTCTCTCGCCAAGGTTTTTTTTAAAAAGAAAAGCGAGCAGTACCTTACCCGGCCGAAGGCCGTGTTTACTATTTTGCGTTTACCGATGCTGTGGACTCCACCCCACAATTTCCGCAAATTACTTTCGGACCATTTTTCTCGAAAAATAATGACTTTTGGTAAAAAATGCATAAAACATAAAATGTGTGTTTTTTTGAGATCTACAACTTTTGTCTAAAACTTTTTTCGAAATTTTTTGTTTTTTACGAGATAATCGTAAAAAACCATTATTTTATGGTGTTTTTTATGGTTTTTACCATGATAATCAAATTTGCGCCAATTTTCACTATCATTTTCGTAATCAGCGCACCAAAATACGTTAGTATACCGAGTTTTATTAAAATCGGAGGTACCCCTACTTCGGAAGTATATCCAATACTAATTCAAAGAAATAAAAATTTGACTCAAAAATAATTATGACAAATGAAAAGCTATAAAATGAAAATTCTAACTAATTATTTTTAGAGCATAATCATCTGTCCCAAAAATCAGAAAACAGTTGTGATTGCCTTTGACGACTATGTAGTCTAGATGCGTGTGTGGCGGGGATAGAGCCGAGCGCGGATATTCGGCTGCGTTCGGTTCAGATCGGCTCTTTGCTTGTCACTGACCTCACCCTTCTCCCCATCAGACCCCGACGAAAGTCTCTAACTCCTTGAAAATCTTATTTTGCGTTTCTTAATATATGCTTTGGTGAGAAAGTGAAGCTTTATGTTTGTGTCAATATTATTTAGTGGTGACATGATCCTGAAAAATTCGGATATTTTTTCCGTTATTTAAAAACTGAAAATTTCATGGACATTTTAAATTTTTATCATGAATAAAATTATAAAGTTTTTAATATTAAAATTTTTGAACATTTTTTGAAATCTTGATTTTAAAAATCATGAATTGTAGAGCAATTTTAATTTTTAATTCATACGCAATAATTTTGTTAGAATGTTTGTTGTTAATTTACATAATAATAAATAAATTGATACGTTTTTAAATATTCTACTAACTGGTTATAATAGTTTTGACATAATAATTACACAAATATAAATTTTTGAAAAATTATAATACTTATTATGTAAATTAACAACAAACATTCTAACAAAATTATTGCGTATGAATTAAAAATTAAAATTGCTCTACAATTCATGATTTTTAAAATCAAGATTTCAAAAAATGTTTAAAAATTTTAATATTAAAAACTATAATTTTATTCATGATAAAAATTTAAAATGTCGGGACATTTTCAGTTTTTAAATAACTGAAAAAAAATCAGAATTTTTCAGGATCATGTCACCACTAAATAATATTGACACAAACATAAAGCTTCGCTTTCTCACCAAAGCAAGTTTAAATTATGTCCGAATGGAGAAAGCACGTATATATCGAGAAACGCAAAATAAGATTTTCAAGGAGTTAGAGATTTTCGTTGTGGTCTGATGGGGAGAATGGTGAGGCCAGTGCCAAGCAAAGAGCCGATCTGAGTCGAACGAAGCCGAATATCAGCGCTCGGCTGTATCCCCGCCACACACGCATCTAGACTACAGTGAATGGCAATGATCACTACTGTTTAGTTAAAATTTTCAGGACACATAATTAAGCTCTAAAATCATTAGTTAGAATTTTCTTTTTGTAGAATTTAATTTGTCATGATTATTATTATTCTGTGCAATGAAATTCTACACAATAAAAATTCTTTAAAATGCCTATTAAATTGAATGAAAATTCAAGAAAAAAAAAATTCGAACAAATAAAAATTTTGTGAAGTAAATAAGAGACAAATCAAATTTGTCCACAATTTTTTTATATTCTCAGGGACATGAAAAGATGTGAAAACAATAAAATTTTTGGTTCCGCATTTTGATTTGAAATACTGGATTTTTTGTTGATTTTTTGGAATTTTTTCAAAATTTAGGGCATCGAATTTTATATCCTTCGAAATTTAATTTGGTCGATATTTTAAGGGGGGAACACCAGTTGTAACTCAAGAAATAATGCTTTTTACAAGAATATTTTCCAAAAGAACAATGAATCTTTTTAAAGAATACTATTTATTAGTTAAAAGTACATGTTAAAAGCTGTAATTTAAAAGAAAAAAAAAATTTTTTTAACAAAAACTTTTAGAGATATGAGCCATTGAAGTGGCGCCTTAAGAAAAAAGGCGAATTGCGGTGACCAGCATTCTGCAAGTATACTTCGTCTGAAATACAAAAATGAAATTGATTTACATTTATTATAAGATTATCTAGTTCGTGATCGAAGGATTTTAAAAAAAAAAAATTTGACAAAATGGCGACCTGTCAAAGTCAAAAGTATAATTTTCGTTAAAAAAATACGGTCGATTTTCAGCTATATAAAAAAAAGTTTTGCATAAAAAAAAAATCCTTCGATCACGAACTAGACTTATATGTGTAAATGAAGCACATTAAATTTTAAATAAATCGGTTTCATGGTATTCGAGTAATCGTGGTCACCGACTTGGAAAATGTCATTTTGAGAAAAACGCATTCAAAGTTTCAACTTACTTTTTTTTGTTCAGAAGAAATTTTGTTTCCAATTTACAAAGAGTCATCGATTCCTGGACCATATAATAACTCTTCCGCAGTGGTTGCCGTTTCTAAATCATAGGAAAAGGCCATCTGTCGTTAGGGTCAGGTATGGCTGGCCACCTTGTCTGAAGCCACGGGACGCGCCGCTGCAGTGTTCTGTATATCTCATTTATTTTTCACCGGATCAAGTTTAAAATTTACAGACACATTTCTAAATATGTATACTTTAAGAAAATGCAAAAAAAAATCGATTTTTCGAAAGTTACAACTGGTGTTCCCCCCTTAAAACCTCGACACTTTTGTTAGCTATACGAATTTCCTTTCTATGTAGTTTGTCAATAAAGTACATTGAAATTTTGCGGGAAATTTGAAATTATTGATGTAAATAATAATAACAACATAGAGAGGAAACTCGTATAGCTAAAAAAATGTCTAGCTTTTAAAATGTCGACCAAATTAAATTTCGATGGATATAAAATTCGATGCTTCTAAATTTCTATCATTTAGAATATCAAACAAATAAAATATCGACCACTTTAAATGTCGATCATTTAAAATTTCGACCAAATAAAATATCGACTAAATAAATTGTTTACCACTTTATATATTGATCATTTAGAATTTCGAATAAATAAAATATCGACTAAATAAATTGTTGACCACTTTAAATATCGATCATTTAGAATTTCGATCAAATAAAATGTCGACTTTCATTAATGTCGTTCTTTTACAATTTCCACCAAATAAAATAACGACTTAAAGTAATTCGATCAATTAAAATTTCGAACTTTTTAATTTTTGGGAAAAATCATGCGTCTCAAAATTTTTTGTTTAAGATAAACGTTGCGTACTTCAGGGAGGTTGGAATGTTTTAAAAATGAAAAAAAGTAATACTTACTATCGGCATTAATTCCTTTTTCCCATTAGTCTGATTATTTTCATCAATTGCTCGTTCATGATGTAATTTCTCTAAGTTCTGTAAATAAGGAAGCAAAACATAAATAATATTAATAATAATAATAATGAAAGCAATAATATAGTAATATTTACCTTCTTCGATTTATTACTATTATTCTCTTCAAATATTTCACCATCTTCTAAAATTTCTCCTTCTTCTACAATATCCTCTTCTTGGTTTTTTGTGTAAAACATTTTTTTTGATAATGCATTCAAAACAAATGCCATTTTTTAGTCTGAAATAAATTATTTATAATAATTATTTAAAAAGAATTTGATTATAATATTTTTGCTTGCGCAAGAAACATAATTAAAACAATTTTACGTCGGTGCAGTTCGCAACGTTTATGATCAACGATTGATATGAAAATATTTTTCTATGCAAATTATTATTATATTTCTGATCTACAAAATTTTTTGCAACGTTTCTTGATCAATAATTTTTTCAAAAAAAATTTGTTGAAAACAAATTATTTATTATGTGAAAAATACTTTTTTTCAATCAATTGTTTTTAACGCAAACAAAATTATAATAAATATTAATTTCAAACAATTTCAGAAGATCAAGATTTACTCCTTTCGAAAAAAAATATTTTTTTCCAAAATATTTTGTCAATAATTATTTTTATAACATTTAGTATTTTTTCTTTTAAATCAGACAAAAATTGCAATTTTTAACCAATTTTTATAAACAAAAGCTCATTTTACTCAGTGAAACATTCTCTACAATAGTTACCTTTTTTATATTCTAATAAGTATGTTGTTAAAAAGTTATTTAATAAATAAAATTTTGATTGTTTATAACTTTTTAAGAACATACTTATTACAATATAAAAAAGGTAACAATTGTAGAGAATGTTTCACTGAGTAAAATGAGCTTTTGTTTATAAAAATTAGTTACAAATTGCAATTTTTGTCTGATTTAAAAAAAAAAATGTTAAAAAAATAATTATTGACAAAATATTTTTTTTTCGAAAGGAGTAAATCTATATCTTCTAAAATTGTTTGAAATTAATATTTATTATATTTTTGTTTGCATTAAGAACAATTTTTTAGTTTTTACAGATTTTTGAGGTTATGTTGACCCGCCACCCTCCTTAAATAAAAAAAAACAATTGTCAAAATTTTGATTAAGTCTAATTATAATTTAAAAGAATTTTAATTTTAAAAAATTGGCGGTTATTATAAATGATTGGAATATGAAAATACATTTATCCTTATTTATATTTGACGGAAGTGACGTTTCATAAAAGTTTTATTTAACGCAGTGGCTATTTGGCCAGTGCACTGGCCAAATAAGGTGGTTTAATTATTCATCCAGTGCACTGGCCGAATAAGATGGTTTCACAATTTGGCCAGTGTGTCAATAAAATCACAATTAATATCCAAAGCTGGCCAAATAAAAAGGGAACACTATTTGGCCAGTTAAAAAAAATAGATTTTTAATATATTAATATGTTGACTAACAGACGTTTTGATATAAATTAATGAAATTAATATAATGCTTGTCCCCTCAACATAACCTCGAACTCCAATTTATAAAAATTGGATAAATGTTACGTTTCGTATGTAACTTTAAAAAAACACAAAATATTAATTATTATTTTTAAAAAATCTTTAACTCAAAATAATTTTTTCTTAAAATTGTACAACTGGATTTTTCAAAACTGGGGGAAATCAATTTTAAATATTTTTAGTTCTATTATAAATTATCTTTTAGTTTTAGGTTATGTTCAGGAGATAAGTAGCCTTAAAAAAGATAAAAATTACCAAAATAAATGGAACTGAGACAATTTAATGGAATGGTTGAAAAAGGTGAAAAGGTGTTATTCCGTTAACCATAAATAAATTAGATAAATTTAAAAGTAATAAATTTCTCTTTATTTATATCTTTACTTTTTTTAAAATTAATTGAATTGAATTTTTATTTTATTTTTTTACAATTTTAATAAAATTAAATTTTTTTTCAAAATTTTTACATCCAATAATTGAGAAAATTGAAAAATTAGATACTTTTAAAGATTTTTAATTTTAAAAAATATTATTAAACTTCAAAAATAATTTATGTAGGGGAATAGTGTCAGGGTTGGACACTTGTCAGGGTTGGACACTTGGCTTTTTTTAAATAAGAACACTAGCGCCACCTGTGTGCGTACGTGACGAATCTTCAAGTAGTATTAGCTAACTTTTTGTGGCATTACATTTTTGGAGAATCAAAAGTAGCGTCTCTGGTGACTTCAGTGCAATCGAAGAGACAAAAAAAGTTTTGTTTGACTTGTGAATAAATCTAAAAAATGTGTAAAAAAAAGCAAGAATTCGGCAAGATAAGCTTATTGAATGTATTGTGGGGTACATAATTTAAGAAGAAAAAAAGTGAAAAATCGAATCGCGACACATGTCTAGTTATGGTTAGCACAATTCGAAAATGATGCTTCTAGTTAGGGTTGGACACTTTATACAGTTAGGGTTGGACACCCATATTAATTATGAATTTGACACAATTTATAAATAAATTTTATTTTATTGATATTTCAGTGCAAAATTGTGCCAAAGATATTAGAAAAATAATACTTAAATTGTATAACTTTTGTTCATCATTTCATTGAGTTATTTGGAACAATAAAGCGTTATTTTTTATAATTTGAGTTCATTCCTTTTTTAAACCCATGAAGCTTTACAATTTGTAAACAATAAGTAAAGATAAACATGAAAAAATAAGAATAAAAAACATTACAAATGTTATTTTACGTTTTTACCAATAATGCGTTTCGATTTTCAAAAAGTGTCCAACCCTGACTGAAAAGTCCAACCCTGACTAGATTTTTTTTTTTTTTAAATGTTTATAACTTTTTTAATTTTGGACCAATCAATTTACGGTCCACAGCAAAAGTGTTCCTCTTTTGTAGATCTTTCCACCCATATACCACAATTGACTGAATTTATCTAAACAAAATATTTATAAACAAAAAACCAAAACTGTGTCCAACCCTGACACTATTCCCCTAATTTTTAAATTAGCTTCAAAAGTTATTGATTGTTCAATAACTTTTAAAACAAAATTCCGCACGACAATACAAAATATCTTTGAAATTTAAATATATGAATTTTAATATTTAACACGTTTAACATTTTAACTGTTGAATTTATTTTAATAAACAAATAAATAAAAATAAATAAATGTAAATTAACTGTTTGATAAATTTTATATTTTTAATTTTTTTAATAATTTTCACATTTATTTGAAAAGTAAAATTTAACAATAATAATTGTGATGGAAAAAAGTATTGAAGTGCATAAATCATTGTTGTATAATTGTATTTTTAATAAATTATTTATGCAAAATAAAAAAAAATGAAAAAGAGATATTTGAAAAATTCTTGGAAGTAGATGCGTTTTATTTATAATAGTAGAAAGCAATTGAAAACTAATAAGTATGCTATTTACTTAATTTTTTTTTTTGGATTTTCGTAATTTGGCGAATTACTTCTCGGATTTTAGTAGTTTAAATTTTTGTTCTTTTATGTTTAAATTGTTTAGAATTGTTTTTTTTAACTCTCTATAAATAATTATTAAATTATTAAAAATAAAAAATAATAATAATAAAAAAAAATTATAAATTATTAAATATGTGTCAGAATATTATTATATTTCATACAAAGTCGTTGGGAATTATTAAAAAAAAAAAATTAAATGGATCGCGGAAAGAAGGGAGTGATTTGTTGATATTTTTCGCATGCACTTTCGTCAAGCTGATCTGTTGAAATTGTATGGACACAGAACAGAGAAATTCAGATAAACTACACAGGCACACAAAAAAAGTTGTCTGTTTCTTGAACTAGACATATTTCAATTATTTAATTAATTATAAACAAATATCGAACAGCTGCGTTTATACCTGATGAGGGTCTTATTAATACACTGGCCAAATTGTGAAACCATCTTATTCTGCCAGTGCACTGGCCGAATAATTAAACCATCTTATTCTGCCAGTTTTTCTCTACAACACAGAAATGCCCTGTTTCTCGTCAGTAAAACTTTATCGCGGTTTTCTCTAAAAAAAGAAACTCTCAAACCTGGTCATATAATATTAATATAAAATTATAAAAGTTAAATTTAAAAGTTAATTATATATAATTTCTTACTTAACACTACACGTGCGCGTCCACTTGACTTGGAATATAAATCAAGACTGACCAACTCGGCTAATAGATTGACGATGGCGACACACGTTACTGACACTTGTTGCTGACTTGTGATTGGCTGTTACCCCCTACTATGAGCTATTAATGGAAATGTGAAGACGAAGTCTTTTTAACACCTCATTGTTTCAATATCGTGTGTCGCGTGCATATGCGTTTCACTGCATTTGAAAATTAAAACAGTTAAAAACTGAAAATATTTTGAGTGACAATTGTGCTATAGTGCAATTCTATTCACGCAGTTCTTAAAAAAATCAGATGGAGAATCAGCTTTAAAGGTAGAAAAAATGATATTTTTTTAAATGTTTTTATTTCACCTCTGCGTGACTACTTTTTCCAACATGGCGTTTGCTGTTTTGCGATAGGTCAGGTTGAAAAAAGTCTATTAAATTGTATAATTAAAAAACGGGCCCAGGGCCTTATGTGGGCCCTACAAACAAAAAAGTAAATTTTTTAAATGGAACCAAGTATTTTCAAACTCAGATTCTTGTAGCCAGTGATTTCCTCTTTTCAGACATGTGGTAACTTGTGGGCCCAAAGTTAAATTTGGGCCCAAAATTCGATTTTTTGTGGTTTTAAAGGTAATTTTAGTGTGACTTAGTTCTAAGGGGTTTTTGGGGTCCCTGATTAGGAATCTGAAATCAGTTTTTAAAAATTTTTAATAACGGACCCAGAATGACTGATTAAATATGAAAAAAATGAAGGAAAATTATGAAATTTATTATTTTAGACCTATTTAGCATTTTACTTGTTAACTTAATGTTACTTTTATTGCTTTTAATTTAGTATCATAAACCTTGGGGTAAAAAATTAGATTTTTACCAATTTTAATATTTAGGGGCTTATAAGGCCCAAAATTAGATTTTCTTTGGTTTTAAAAATAATTTTAGTGTGACTTAGTTTCGAAGTGTTTTCGGGATCCCAAATTATGTATCTGACATCGATTTTTAAAAATTCAAAACAGCGGACCAAAAATGACATAAAAATTAATAAAATTAAGGAAAATTATAAAACTTTTTATTTTAGATTCATTTAGTTTTCTAATTGTTAATTCAATGTTACTTTTATAGTTTTTAATTTAGTATCATAAACTTTAAGGGAAAAAAAATTGATAGATTTTTACTAATATTAATGTTTAGGGGCTTATAAGGCTGAAAATTCTGTTTTTAGTTCTTTTAAAACTCATTTTTAAACAACAAAATTCGATATTTTGTGGTTTTCAAGGTGATTTTAGTGTGACTTAGTGCCAAGGAGTTTTCGGGGTCGCTGATTACGAATCTGAAATCAGTTTTTAAACATTTTTAATAACGGACAAAAAATGAATGATTAAAAATGAAAAAAATTAAGGGAAATTATAAAACTTCATATTTTAGACTTATTTACCCTTCTAATTATTAATTCAATGTTACATTTATTGCTTTTAATTTAGTATTATAAACCTTGGGGTAAAAAATTAGACTTTTACAAATTTTAAATTTAGGGGCTTATAAGGCCCAAAAAACGAGTTTTTTGGTTTTAAAGGGGATTTTAGTGTGAATTAGTTCTAAGGGGTTTTTGTGTTCCCTGATTGAGTTTTAAATTCATTTTAGTGTAACTTAGTTCCGATGGGTTTTCGGGCTTCTTGATTACGAATCTAAAATCAGTTTTTAAAAATTCAAAATAGCATACCCAAAATGACTAATTTAAAAATAAAAAAAATTAAGGATAATTATGAAATTTATTATTTTAGACCTATTTAGCATTTTACTTGTTAACTTAATGTTACTTTTACACAGCTCTAAATTTACTATCCTTTGGGGGCAAAAAGGAAGATTGGTTTATTTTCCAAATTTAAATTTTGGGGGCTTATGGGTTCCAAAAGTGGATCTTCTGTGGTTTTAAGAGTTATTTTAGTTTCAGGGAACTTTCTAATCTAATTTTTGGCCTTATAAGCACCTAAATTTAAAATTTGTAAAAATCTAATTTTTACCACAAGGTTTATGATACTAAATTAAAAGCAATAAAAGTAACATTGAATTAACAATAAGAAGGCTAAATAAGTTGAAAATAAGAAGTTTCATAATTTCCCTTAATTTTTAAAAATTTTTAATCAGTATTTTTGGGTCCGCTTTTTTGAATTTTAAAAAACTGATTTCAGATTCGTAATCATGGACCACGAAAACCCCTTGGAACTAAGTCACACTAAAATTACCTTTAAAATCACAAAAAATCGAATTTTGGACCTTATAAGCCCCTAAATTTAAAATTTGTAAAAATCTAATTTTTTACCCCAAAGTTTATGATACTAATTTAAAAGCAATAAAAGTAACATTTAATTAACAATTAGAAGGCTAAATAAGTCTAAAATAAGAAGTTTCATAATTTCCCTTAATTTTTTTCATTTTTAATTAGTCATTTTGGGTCCGCTATTGAAAATTTTTAAAAACTGATTTCAGATTCGTAATCAGGGACCACGAAAAGCCCTTCGAAACTAAGTCACACTAAAATCACTTTTAAAACCAAAGAAAATCTAATTTTGGGCCTTATAAGCCCCTAAATATTAAAATTTGAAAAAATCTATTAATTATTTTACCTCAAGTTTTATGATACTAAATTAAGAGCAATAAAAGTAACATTGAATTAACAATTAGCAGGCTAAGTAAGTCTAAAATAAGAAGTTTCATAATTTTCCTTAATTTTTTTCAATTTTAATTAGTCATTTTGGGTCCGTTATTGAAAATTTTTAAAAACTGACTTCATATTCGTAATCAGGGACCCCGAAAACCCCTTAAAACTAAGTTACACGAAAATCACCTTTAAAACCACAAATAATCGAATTTTGGGCCCAAATTTAACTTTGGGCCCACAAGTTACCACATGTCTGAAAAGAGGAAATCACTGGCTACAAGAATCTGAGTTTGAAAATACTTGGTTCCATTTAAAAAATTTACTTTTTTGTCTGTAGGGCCCACATAAGGCCCTGGGCCCGTTTTTTAATTATACAATTTAATAGATTTTTTTCAACCTGACATAAAAATCACCCTGTATATATATATATATATATATATAACATTATAAATTATAAATCACTATAAAAATAATATCTACCATTAACAATTAACAAATTATAATTATTGTAATAACAATTATAATTAATAATTAGTTAATAATAATTTATTATGATACAATAATTATTTATAATAAATTATGTCTAAATGATCTACAAGATGTAAAAAACACATCTAACTTCGAACATAACCTTTTATTTAAATAAATAATTGAAAATTCGGCTCGGAAAAGTATCCGGCGAACAGAAGGTTAAAAGAAGTGGCGCGAGGAAAGCAAAGGGCCTGTCGCGTTGAGAGTGGGAGGTGCAAGGATGAATAGAGATGGGCCGTAAGGCGAAAGTGGAGAGAGCGAATGGAAAAAAGAGTGGAAAGCGTGGAGTGAAAAAGGGGCGCGCCGATATTTGGAAAAAGTATAGAAAACGCGTTACCAATGACTCGGCTAAGGACAAGAAATTCATGAAGATATAGCAAAGTGTTTTGCATTCTTCATGAATTTCTCGTTACCCCCATCAGTGACATGTATCAGATTGAGGGAGGTGCGGGGTAATGGGAGATTATACGTGTCCCCAAAGTTATCACAATATTATTTATATTCCTTCAAATGATTTTATATCAATAAATTTCCATTAATTTAAAAATACGGGTAATATTGGTATAGCAATATCTACGTAATTAGCATAATAAGCTTGTAGCATACTTGCAGCAAGGTTGACGTGCTGGATTTATGACAAATAATAAAATGTCTTATTGATGCCAGCTTGCGTGGCAAGTTTGTTGCAAACTTACTTGACAAATGATGCGTTGTTAAATTCTATGGGATTTTTATGCGGCTGCCCAGTACCTTTTTTTACATTTCATCTTTTATCCACAGAAAATTTAAAAAAATAAGTAGTATCTCAGAAAACAAAATTAAATTTAACGTAATTAATTAAATAATTTTTTTTTTGATTGAATTTGAAATTTTGAAATCAAGATTAATAGTTAATGCAATTAATTTAATCATTTCACAGAAGTATTTAAAGAAAAAAATGTTAAATATTTTTAATAATTATTTAAATAAGCTCACAAATTAAATAAACAGTATACGTTTCTTAATAAATAAAAACAATTTTATTTCTCAGTTTACAATTAAACTATGAAAAATATTAAGAAAACTTATAAATACAGCAAATTTTATAGTTACAACAACCACATATTAAATAATATTTAAGTAATTGAACGAAAATTATACCTGCATTTATATTATTTTGAGATATATACTTTATTATGGAGTTTTTTAAAAATAATAAATGTTTAATTAAAACTATTGAACTACAATTTTTATTCTTGAAATTTGATATTAATAACTTTTCAATATCGTGACATCTTGCACGGCAAGCTTCAGCAAGTTTTCGTGCTGATTGAGATTATAAATTAATTACATTCATATTGAATTACATGTAAAATTCATTCACTTTGGAAGTGAATAATTTTACAGAAGAAGTTTTGTATAATGAAAACGATGTTACAAAAACAATTACTTATTTAAATCTTTCAAATGTAAATATCTATAAGAGTCTTTGAAATTTGGACAAGTTTTTCTTGTTTCACCTAAATAACCGCAAACATAACAATATTTATTGACTTGTGGCATAGAACAATTTTTTCATGAATGGCCTTGCCTTTGGCAATTAAAACAATTAAAGTTTCGTCCTTTTAATTTCTCTTTATCAAATTTTGCTTTAGGTGTATACAATTTTCTTAAAAAAAAGTTGAATTTTAAATGCGTTTTCATATTGTTGTTTTAATACATTTTGCCTCTTTTTTTGATATGTTTTATTATGATATTGTTTTTTACCATATTCGTACACTACATGAGCTTTTTCAATATTTCTATTTACTTCATCTCGCCATTTTTCAATTCCACTTTCGTCACTGTCATCACCACTGCTAGAATTATCAGTAATTTGTATAGTTACATCGTCCTCCATGCCAAGATTTGCTCCCTTTATTGCAATATTTGAAAGATATTGAATATCTTTATAACAATTAACTTTTTTATCAAAAAATTATTTACGAGATGTACAATATTTTGCGATATGATTTTTTTTTCCACATTTAAAGCACACTTTTATTGGATTATATGGATATTCACATTTTTCTTTTAAATGTCCATAACGTTTACATCGAAAGCAAAGATTTATTAATCTTACTGATAGACGAACATATTTATGAGAAAACGGTAAACTAAATTTTGGAATTTTTTTTTCTTTATATAAACGGTAAGCAGTCTCATATTCAGAGATTGTAGATTTTACATCCCAATTTTAATTTTTAAAAAAGTTGATACTTTCAGAAATGATTTTTTATGATATTTAGGAAATTAAATAAAAAGAATTAAGTTAAAATTTTTATTATTTATCTTAGAATATGTATTTATGAATGGAAAAAGTAAAAAGTGCTAAGAAAATTTGAAAGTTCACCGCAAATACTTTACATTCGGTGAGTTTTTATTTTAATTAATAATTCCACTTTTTAGTAATTAATTAATGAAAATTCCAAAATTAGGTTATTTAACAGACAAACTTTGAAAACTTATTTTATCTATTATATTAATTTATTTACTACTTTAACTTTAATAATTAAAAAATAGATATAATTAATCGATTCTGAACAAGAACCAATAATTTTTTTTACACTTTTAACAATTTTTCTATGTTTTTAAAAAAAGTTTCTAAATGCTAAAAAGGTGATAATTTTCCGCACCTTGTCCACTTTAAATACATATTTTAAGATAAATAATACAAATTATAACTTAATTCTCTTTATTTCGTTTCCTAAATATCATAAAGAATCATTTCTGAAAGTATCATCTTCTTTAAAAATTAGGCCGCAACGACTTTAGGTGAAATATAATGGAATGACCCTTTGCCATTCTATCAAATTTATTGTGTACACAATAAAATTTTATCAAGTCACAATTATAATAAATTTATTAATGCCCTTTTTTAATACAGTGTCACAAGCAATGAACCGCTGGAAAATATTGGTGGCCGGTTATACCAAGGAACGGTATAGATTGAAGACATACGTTCCTTCGGGATCCGCAGCACAAAAGGCTCCTACAGTTGAATGGCCATATTTCAACGATTTAAATTTTCTACAAAAAACTATAGATCATATGGGGTAATAATATCATAATTATCTAATTTAATTAACAAAAAACAATTTTTCTAATTTTTAAGGGGTAACTGCGACAATATTTTCAAAAAATTAAAAAAAAATTTTCTTACCGATTTTATTTTATGACCAATGAATTATTCAGGTTTTTTGAGAATTTTAATTAATTCCTTCAAATAATTGAAAATATTGTCGCAGTTCTCCCTTTAATAAGTGAAACTACTCTTATTATTTGTCCTTCAGCGGAATTTGAATTTTTTTTCAAAAACTGTCTTTTTAGCACTTAAAGTATTGAAAAATTGATTTGCGAAAATTTTGGTAAAATAAAGAAGCAATAAAATAATATTTGAATAATTTTGTTTTAGTTACGTCGAAACTTTCCATAAAGCACCACCTCATCCATATCAAGAAGTGAAAGAGGTGGAAGTAGAAGAAATGGCACGTGAAGAAGAAGGTAAACTTCTCACAATTGCAATTGATTAAAATTTTTAATGAAATTTTTTTATTTTTAAAACGATACACAGTATTTTATTTTTTGAAAATATTATTTTTAACCTTTAATCTATAAGTCAAAAACTGACATAAATTACACTAATTTTTGAGGTAATATTCCCTTCTGGATCTAATTTTTGAATAGAAATTTACCTCTTGATATTTCAACTGTACGTCAAAAAGACTTAAATATTTACCTAAATTTAAAAACTGTAAATTTTTAAAGGGGAGCCTTTACCCACATTTTTAACTATATTAATCAAATGATTTAACTTTTCCTTATTCTTATAGTAAATGGTGGAGACAAATTCAAATGTTATAAAATAGAATCAGTCAAAAAATATTTTTACCCTTCTTAAATTTTTATTTTTCTTACAAATTAATAGATTTTGAAATAAAAAATATCATTGTTATTCAATTCTTTAAAGATTTCATTTGTTTATTTTTCTAACTAATTTCATAATTTTTAAAAAATATAAAATATAATGTTACATCCCGGTAACAATTTTCCCTAATTTTCCTTAAAATTATCATTAAAATAAGACATTTTATATAATTCTATGATAATTTTACAATACTTAAACTATATGTCTTATTTTAATGTATTTATTTATGTATATATTGATAGGATAGAGTGTGGAAACGAAATCGATCTCAAAAGAGATATGACATTCGTTTTCACCATAAAAGTTCAGAAAGTTGAAAAGCTAAAAATAGGATATATGTAAGCAAAATGTGAAGCAAGTTCGAGCTTGTTTTTTTATACGCGTGAAGAATGTAAAGGTTGTGAAGATCCAAGTGTAATATGATCTTCAAAAGCCCATTGTCAGCATATAAAAGAGAGAATTCAGAAAGAAGAAGATTCAATGTCATACATGCGATGTAGATCATTACCATATAAGGAAAGTGATTCTATTTATAGATCACCCCTTCCTCAATAATATGACATTTCTCCCATTAATTAGCATAATCGACTAGTATATAAACAAGAGCTTTTTCCATAAAGCTTGTCAAAAGTTCCGGTGCAATCTCTAACATCGTAGAGCGACCCTTCAGTTTACTTTCGCCATAATTATTGTATTCTTTCCTGATAGCCAATAGGTGCAAGTTAATTTGACTTTTCACTTAGAACATAGTTCTTTCCTGATAGCCAATAGGTGCAAGAGAAGCAAATTAACACTTAGAATCAATAATTTAATGGAAATAACTGTCGTATTTATAACTTGTAACGATATTCTCTATCTCTCTCTATGAATTTCCTATATTCCCGTCGAACATGTGCTCAACGGAAAATTCTATAGAGAAGACGCTACAAAAATGGCGTTAATCATACACTTTTCCGATTTATAAATTCCACGCTTTGAATTTATAAAAAGACCCACGGCGATCCGTTTAGAGGTTTCTCCTCAGCGCCAGGTAAAAGATTACCCGGATCCCCGTTGACCGTTTCGAAGTGTGAACTCTACCCGGGCTAGCTCGACTTACCGCGAGTTCACACATTACACTAAGCGAAACATTTATTTTATTCTCAGGACGTGAGTTACACACACAGGTGAGAGAGAACGACACACTACACTGAATTTAATAAATGAAACACTGCAATTTAAATAATTTTTATATAAATTATTTCTAATTCTGAATTTATTAAACTCAATTATTACACTCGAGAAATCCACACTACTAGTTGGTGAGATCAGCCGGCGAGAACAGGTTGGCGTCCATTTTCCTTGCCATGCGGTCGGCCAATATTATCCTGTTTATTCTCGGTTTTTTCCGTATAAATTCACCACAAAGATGCCAGATTTCGGGAAGAACTGTCCACTAACCTTTGATCTTGTTCAATATCTTCCGATAATCCATACTTTCGGTTATACCGGCAAAACAATTAAAAAAAGATAAATAATCAATTAATTCTCTGTCTTAATCTGTGAGTAGCCAAACTCGAACTGATTTGCAACAGCAGGGTCGCCTGACCCAGTGACCTGCGCAATGCGTGTGGCCCCTGAGGGTTGACATCCTCGGTATACTTCCGTGTCAGATCCCAATTAATATCGGATGTGATTATTAATTATGTGAATAATTAATAATATAAAGTCCAAAAATGTGAAGATCTTCTTCATTGAAATCTTCTTTCTCACCCGACTGATCAAATTTTATACAATAACAAAATAATAATTTGAGCAAATGTGGATTTCTCTATTCATTGAGAAATATATTATTGCTCTTTTTCAGTAATAATTTGTACATGTTTTCTTTTACAAATTATTATAAACAAAGTACATGAAGTAAGATTTATATATAAAAAAATACAATAATTATTTTTTATAAAACAATAACCAATAAAGAAAAATATAAAGGTTGAGTCCGGGTTTGGCTATTATTTTTCTTACTTTTTATCGAAAACGCGATATTTAATTAATATTAAAAATTCTACTAATAATTTAGTTTTCGGCGAAACCTCTGAAAACTGTCTTTAAACGGGATAATTAAATTACCACGTTACAACTCCCCTGGGCCTAGCCGAAACCTATCTCCTGAATTTTTCAGAAATATGGCCAGATTCTTCCCTTTCATTAGGCATTTTTCAATTGATATATTTAAATATTGAACCAATTAATTTCTATTTTGATTAACCACTGGTCTGACAGGTAAACTGATATGAAAAATCTCTTTTAATTCTGATTTTACTCTTTAACCAGCAATGTTCTGTCTACTATCGATTCAGTATTTTATTTCAATTTCTTTTCAAATAATATAAATTGTTAAACTTACCGATCCTCGGAGTTCTTGAACACCATTGACAGGGAGTGAACTGGGAATTAGGAATAATTCGAAATTTTTATATTACAAAAGAAAATACGTAATATATTTTTATCAAAAGTCACAACAAAAAAAATATATATATGAAACATATCCCTTATCCGAATACGGTACAGTCACAGCCTATTTACTCTTTGACTATATTAAGGTACACGGTTTAAACCTGAGAGTTTTCTAAGGGAATAAAACTATTCTAAATAATCTCAATTGACTTACAATTCTAGTTATACTGAAAACTTTACCTAGTCTCACTGTAATTCTCTCATAACTAACAGTCTTTGGTTTTAAAATACCATATTAAATATAAAACTAAAAAAAAATACTAAATATATATTTAACCAAATAACTGATAAACAAAACAGAATATGATTTCTAAATGGGAATAGAGAGAGAGAAAAAAACAAACTTACAAACTTTTATGAGCTCTAGGGAGAAACAGAAAAGAAAATTGAAAATGATAATAAAAAAAAACTTATACATGGGCCTTATTGGTCCCGATGTGGACAATCATTTTCAAGGTGGCGTCTATTGCGGCATCTGATGCACCACAATAAGCTGGCTACCATCCCGGTCGACCGTTGTAGTTCCCAACGAACAATGGCCTCCGTACCGATTTGTTCGGCGAAGCTCCGAGCAATTTCTCTAGCCGCTTCTAGTTCGGCTCTGTCCCGTGCTTCTGTCTCTCTTCTCCTTCTCTCTTCTCTTTCATTCCAAAGAGCTTCTGCTTCCTCAATTTTCTTTTTATAAGCAGCTTCTTTGGCTGATTTCTCCTTATCTGCTTTGGCCTTAACTTCTCGACCAAGTTTGTGACCTTGTTCGGCTGCGGTCCTTTGCTCTTGCCTTCGGCGTTCTAACTCCCTGATGTGTTTTGGAGGTCTATTAGGCTCGGTCCTTAACCGGAATTCTCTCCAAGTCTCGTCCTCCCTTCGGTTGGGCCTGGATTGAACTGGACGGGTAAAACCGTCCTCCGAATCGGAATTTCTTGTCGATCTTGGATCCGTATTTCGGCTGGCTTCGGCACCTGCCGGCTCCCATGTTTGCTCAGCGTATTGAACGGATGATTGCCGTTCACGATTTCTGTTTCGAGATGTTGACGGTTCAACCGGGTAAGTGCCTTCCTCCCAATCATAGTTTAAGGGTCGTGACTGATGTTGATGTATCCAATGATCTTCTTCACGACTCTGTTCTCTTCTTTGGATCATCGATTGAGAACTTTGATTTAAGCATATTATCTCAGTTTACAAGCGATAGCGTAAGCGAAGCATAAAAAAAAATAAGCTTAAAGCAGATAAATACATGCACAAATTAAAATAAAACATTTTCTATTCTAAGGGACTTGGCTTTAAGGTGGTCTCTTACTCCCCCCCTCCCTAGGTTCTCTGTAGGGGATAAGTAATTTTACTGGGAACCTACCTAATATTCTACCACTTTCTGTTGCGATTTCGTAAACTGACGGCCCTAATACGCGTACTACGGTATGTGGTCCTTGGTTTTTCCCTCCGAAACCTCGGGTGATACCTTTTTGAGCTGATGACGTGATTAACTTTTTGCACATAACTCTGTCTCCTACTTTGAATGTCGCGTGTCGACGTCTTTTGTCATAGTTTACTTTTTGACGATCGAAGGCGCTGTCCATTTGTAAAGATATGAGATCTTGCAATTCTCTAAGTTTTTCTATTCGCTCTATCCATTTTTCTTGGTTTTCGGGTATAGGATCTACCGGTTCCTCTACTCTATTGCGTAGGTTATTAAAGGGTGTCGGTTCTATGGCAGTATTCATAAATGCTGGACTTACGCCCGTGCTTCCGTGTACTGCCGTATTATACGCAAAACGCAAATTATTCAAATATATGTCCCATTTCTTGTGATTTTTCGATACATACGCGGAAATCATTGTCTTAATCACTCGATTTACCCGCTCGACTGGATCTGACTGTGGGTGGTAAATCGGAGTGAAGGAATGTTTAATTCCGTAAGCCTCGGTTATACCTTCGAACGCTTGATTTACGTATTCTGTTCCGTTGTCTGAAATCAGTATTTGGGGCGCTCCCCAACGATTTAGAATCAAATCTTCAAAAGCTTTTATTATTGATTCCGCGTTCGATTTTCGCATTGGTGCTAACTCTATGTATCGCGTATATA